TGCACTCCCTCTAGGGACTCAGTGCCATTGCAGAGAGGTAGAGAAGCTTCTTGAAGCAATGTGCTTGCAAGAGAAGGTGGTGAAGAGGCATTTGAAGATAAAGGTGTGGCTCCAGGACTACAACCAAACACCTTTTCCCAAAACTCTCTTAAGAACTTGTCAACAGGACGGTGAGATGGGTTGAGACTTCTGATATAATTTTCAAAGCCAGGTATAGTTGAACTTCTAATGGCAACACCAACAACACCACTTGCCACTTGACTTGTGACGAGACTTTGGAGAAGATCACCACTGGTGCTCCAAGCCTCACTGGCCAGAAACTGTCTGTCAGTCACCTAGTGATTGCAACACAACATGATCACAAGATAAATTTAAGAAGCTATGATTTATCTTAAATTTATGTTGTTTTTTACAAGTTCAGTATACAGATTTGTTGCAGTTTCTCACATTTATCTTGGCTAGTTCCAGAAACAGTTCCCTCACATCTGTATACCAGGCAACAATAAGAATCACTCTTGCAGTTGAGGCCTGAATTGTGAGGGCTGCTCGTCTGGCATCACTCACAATGTTTTCCTTGTTGAGAGTTTCTACAAATGCCAGACACACCCCTGCCCCCTGAATCTCCTCCTGAAAAATCTGACATATGCAGTTGAATATAACAAAAGGATTAGATTCATTTTGTCTTGTGTGTGTGCCATAATATTTCATGTACAACAAATATAAAAACAAAGAGAAACACCTTTATTGCTTTATTATCTTATATAAATGTTTTAACATTTTTGTCAACTAAAATAAAAACAAATGGAAATACCTTTATTGCTGTTAGGCCATAATTAGTGTTTGCTACCACAGCTCCAATCCAGGTCCAATTGAGGTGTATGACAAGCTGGGCAATGGCCCAGGCTTGGTAGATATCACTGGGTACAGTCCTGAAGAAGTTAGGAAATTCATGCCTATCACTAAGACAGGGGCAGCTAGCTGTGTAGCTCATCTAAAAGACAAAAACAGATACAAATATATATGCTGAAGATTGCTGTAATCACTTATGTTATATAACTCTAAAAATGATGTGTTTATTGCCAAGGTTTACAGTGGATATCTTATTTTTACGATAAGTACAGCCAAAAGTAAACTATGTTTCTACTGATGAAGAGAAAAAAGGTGGCAAACTATAAATAAGCAATTATTTATGGAATAAAAGTTTAAAAAAAATATAATAAATGGTAAATTTTTAACCAGTGTCTCACGTTGAAAAGCTATTTTTTGCAGTGAAATTTTGTTTATTAAAATCAGATTTCCATTAGTAATTTAACATTTATACATTTCTATATATGTTCAGGGACACAAATAATTTGGGGGATTTTTTTGGATCTCACCAAAGGCACAGAGAGAGGCCCCAGGATTCTGGAGTATTTCGGCCGTTAGAGATGAGTCACCACCAATGATCAAAGGAACAGGCTGATCACCTGATGACATTATAAAATATCATGAAATAAAACTATTTGCTAATTTGTTCAATAAAATAATGCTCACCGTCCTGATGACAATAATGTTTGAATCACAGTATTACTGCATTTATATTGTCATCAAAGTGTTTACCTTTTATTTACTATAATTTTAGTACCTCTACTTTTGCCAATTTCCTCTCCATACCCAGCAGAATACTCTGGCAGGGCTGCTGAATTACAGCTGGTGCTGTTTCCTCCAACTTGCAGTAGTGCTGCCTGCACAGCCCACAGGGGAATGCCACAGCTATCATGAATACGGTAGCCCAACTTCACACCTGGTAGCAGTGTTGCACTATGGTTGATTTCCTCCAGGGCAAACACCATAGCATACACATACTGTAATGGAAGATTTTGCAAACTGTGATCACAAGAGAGAAGGGATGGAAGAAATCAGTCAATATGCTGATGTAATTGTGCAGCTACTAATATGTAGTAATGTGCAAATTCTGTAGGTAATTGCTTCATCAATAAATATAGAATTACAACAAAATACTTTTAAGAAAAAATGTATATGTGAAGATAAAAGAGCCACAAATATTTAACTGAAAAATCAATAATAAAAATATGGCTAATAATGCTTTAAACATAACTAAATGCATTATACAGTGTTCACAGTAAACAATGCAGTTCAGAGTTTTACCCAATGCAGGATTTGTAGCGTGGCAGCTGAGTGAAGTCATGATCTAAAGCTGGAGGCTCATAATAAATATTAAAGAGCCCACCAATAACTACATCTCCATCTTGGAACAGACCCTGGTCACTCGGTGTACTCCACTGAGAACATGTCACAGTCTGAGCCACCTGCAGTCCCACCCTGAGCCCCAGCGGTCTGCCCACAAGCCCCACAAGGAGCAGGGACAAGGCTGATGAGTGCCACAGAGTGAAGAACCAGGAGAACAAAGACATGGATGCAGAGCTTCTGGGATTTTTCAATATGTAAAACATACTCAGTTAGACAACTTTGCATTGGCACAACAAGCAAAAATAAGAGATGAAATAAACAAAATACCAATAACTGATCAAATGATCATATTCAATTAAATCCCTTTTAATGTAACAGGAGAAGCATAATCACAGTAGTAATAGTTCCACCTGTAAAAAATCTTTGGTGCACTCTTTAAATCTGACAAAATGTGTATAGCAACTGAAACAGTCTGCACTAACAACTGACAAGTTATCTCAACTCTGGTATGCTGTCTTCTTCCTCTGCGCAACAAAGATGTCGTTTTGGGTATTTATAACAGCTGGAAAGTCCATGGTGGGTTGATAGTAAACAGGATGACACTGCACCAAATCATTCCCCTGAAAGATGATGGCAAAATAATACCAAAATTTTTACTGTGTGATACAGACACTAGAGGATTTAGCTTAAGGACAGTGATCACAGAGTTAAATTTTCATCTTTCACATGTTGGTGTAATTGAGCCACTAAAAAAAAAAAAAAAAAAAAAAAAAAAAAAAAAAAAAAAAAAAGAAGCCAGACACACTTATGTACTTTGTCCAGATTAGGAGATATCCTCATTGCCACTGCAGTGGCGTTGTTTCAGAAAACTGATTTTGATTTGTATGACCATAGTCTAAGCAAATCAGAATTTGCTGCACCCAGCTTAAAGCCTTCCAGCTGCCAGCCTATTTTCAACCAGTTCCCAGCTGGGTTCCCTTCTCCTGTTGCCTGACAAGTTTTGTCTAGATTCCACAGTATGTCCCCATTAGATTGCACTTTGTTCTCAAAGACACATTCACACATAAACCACTGAGAGACTGCCTAATTTATTCAAAGTGTGGAGTCCTGTTTTTGTTTAGGCCATGGTTTATACATTACGCTTCCTGGATATTACAGCCATTGCTACCAATACTGCATCATTCACATTTAATTAACATCATAAACCTATATTGTTTCTTCCTTACCAGTACATCATAAAAACTGTCATAACCACAATGACAAGATAGTTTATAAGTGTGTAATTGGATCTATAGTTGGTTTTTAAGTGTATAATATAATATAATAATGGGCAGCACAGTGGCGCGGTGGTTAGCGCTGTTGCCTCACAGCGAGAAGGTTCCGGGTCCGTGCCTTTCTGTGCGGAGCTTGCATGTTCTCCCCGTGGGTTCTCTCCAGGTACTCCGGCTTCCTCCCACAGTCCAAAGACATGCAGCATAGGTTGATTGGTGTCTCTAAATTGCCCATAGGAGTGATTGTGTGTGTGTGAGTGAGTGAGTGGTTGTTCGTCTGTTTGTTAGCCCTGCAATGGACTAGCGACCTGTCCAGGGTGTACCCCGCCTCTAGCCCGCAGCTGGCTGGGATTGGCTCCAGACCCCCGTGACCCTGTTTGGGACTAAGCGGTATAGAAAATGGATGGATGGATAATATAATATAACAGGGTCAAATAAACAGGTACACTGCTGAAACACACACATCAAAAAGAATATTGCATAACCATTTGAACATGAAAGAATTAATCTTCATCTTATTCAACTTTTGAAGTAAATGGTCTACAAGATATGGTTTAATGCAGGGGTATTCAACTGACTGTGATCCAGGGGCCAACACTGTGATTAAGAAGCAACCTGAGGACCATGTGGTATGGTGGATGGACCAGATGGCACTATTTTAAATTTAAATAATAATAATAATACTTTATTTATATAGCACTTTACAACCCGCAAAAGGAGCACAAAGTGCTTCATAGAACACATAAAAAAAACATAACTAGCGTAACAGACCTTAAAAACAACAAGAAAAGGACATATCAACAAGATGGATGATAAAACAGCAGCAAAAGAGATATCTGGATTAGTCACCTTGGCTTTTCAAATGTTTACATTTTGCACTAATTTGTTTATTAATTATGACAGCAACTACAACAAATATATGAAAATGTTTAATATAATTTAAAAACTCTGATTCCTATAGGGAAACTACATTATTGAATGCATGGTGGGGGACTACCTGCAATGCCTTCATGGAGCGCCAGGGAGCCACAGACCACTGGTTGAAAACCCCTGGTTTAATGTGTCCAGGTTAGGAAATATCCCCACCCCCACTGCAGCAGAGGTGGATAACTAATGTTGAATGACAAAATGTGTATGCAGAGACTGGGACAGGAAATGGTTGAATGTCACCATTCCAGAAATTGTGATGGAGCTGCCTGGCTTTACTTTGTTTTGAGCAGATCCAGACTCATCACCAAGAAAAAGCAAGAGAGGTGGTGTGTGTTTTTATATTAATAAATGCTGGAGTACCATCATTAAAGTTTTGGGTTGTTGTACTCGATACTTTTTACCATACTGATTTAGAGAAAGCCATTCACGCCTTTGTGACGTCCCGGCTTGATTACTGCAATGCCCTCTATGCCGGTTTATCTCGGTCATCGTTGTCCAGGTTGCAGCTGGTGCAAAATGCCGCTGCCCGGCTGCTCACTGACACCCGTCGACATGCTCACATTACCCCAATCCTAGCGTCCCTTCACTGGCTACCTATGAAATGGAGAGTGCAATTTAAGATTGTGCTATATGTGTTTAAAGCCTTGCATGGACTTGCCCCTCCATATTTATCAGAGCTTCTATCCAGATACATTCCTCGGAGATCATTACGGTCGTCCGCCCACCTCACCCTTGTGGTCCCTACGTCCCGTTATAAAAAATGGGGAGGTCGGGCCTTTGCCGTGTACGGCCCGGTATTGTGGAACGCTCTGCCATTAGATGTACGCTCCATAACTGAATTAGTTCCGTTTAAATCGGCACTGAAAACATATTTTTTTAAACAAGCTTTTTATGCTTAATCTCTCTAAGGCTCCACTTGGCTTCTATTTTTGTAGCTTTATTCTAGCTTCTCTGAGGGCTCTCACGATATAGATCGATGAATGTATGTGCTTGTCATTTGTCTATTTAGTTGATTTTTATTCTGATATTGATATTTTGATGATGTTGGTTTTAAATTTTTTTTTTTTTTTTTTTTTGCTTTTTTCCTGATGTAGCACCTAGTGCTCTTTGAGCTGGTAGGTGCTTTATAAATAAATTTTATTATTATTATTATTATTATTATTAACACACATCTGTATCAGGATGCAGGAGTAACAGCTGAAGAGATTTAGCGGTTTATGTTTGAGCCTAGTTCACATCTACACAGCTCAGGAGTCTGTTGTTCACCAAAATGTGCCATGAGCAGACGTCCCAGAATGCTATGTGTAGTTGGAATCCTTTTTA